TTTGTTTCTTTCCAACAATATGACCATTTAACTTTCATTTTATTACTTGGTACTTTCTCCTTGTTACAATCTGGAAGCTTTGAAGATACTCTTTATGTCCATTTCACCGTTTCTTTTATACAGTTGTTTTGATTTCCTATTTTAAGTTTTGCTTGTATTTTGTAAATTGTTTTTGTTACTAACACTATTAAAAAATTACAGGACTTTCTATTGGAACAATTATCTTTTTAACTAGAATTATCTTTATTTCGAAATTTTATTTTTGAGACTTCAGTTTTATAGATTTAATTTTAACTTTAAATTTTACTTTGAATTTCAACAAAATTTGTTTTTGGGTTTGTTGGTACTTGGTACCATACTTTATTCTCTATTTTGGTTTTACTTATTGTCTATTCATTTCTTAAACTAGATTGAAAGTTAAATTTTGAAAATTTAAGTTGCTTTTTGTAGGGCTAAGGTTTTTTTTTTAATTTTTTTATTTATTTATTTATTAATTTATTTATTTATTTTTTTTTTTTGATTACCTTATTTAAAAGGCTTTTGTAATTTTGGTTTTTCCAGTTATCTTATTCTTAGCAACATGTACATTCTCCATCTTTGGTATTCCAAGATGCTATTTTTTTAATATTAAAAAATTAAAAATTTTCTTCCTCCTGTTTAAAAAATTTGACTTACTGTGTTTCTTTTTCTTCTCTTTCTTTCTTTTTTTTTTCCTTTTTATTTTTATAAATTATGCACATATTTTTATTTGAGTCCCATTGAAAGAGGTTATATCTTTATGATTGCTGTTTGAATATTTTATTTCATTAAGCTAAACTGAAATATAATTTTTGAGAAGTTTATACTTCTGAATATTTTTTGATTTCACATTTAAAAAGTTTTGTTTTTTTGTAATTTTGTTTTTTCTGTTTGTCTTGTTTATAGTAGCATTCATTCTACCTCTTTGGTCTACCAAGTTCTTGATTTTTAAAATTAAAAAATTAATAATTTTCTTTCCCTTGTTTTGAAATAGGGATTTTTTAAAAAAATATTTTGTATATTATATGCATGTTTTCATTCGAGTTGCATTGAAACAGGTTATATTTTTATAACTATTTCTTAATTTCTTATTTGAAGAAATGCTTTCTAAATGTTGCTTATTTGTAGTGCTTTTGCAATAAAACGTCATGGGAATTCCAATTTTAATCATGTTTGTATCAATTTTATTTACACAGCAGCTTTGCAGATAGCAGCACAGTGCTTGTAATTTGATTATACAGCAACATCATGTATATTTAGAGTATTTTTTCATTAGAGTATGTTTTGAAAGGATTTGTTTTCAATGCTCATTATTTTTTTCATGTTTAATATTTGTAAAATGAATAGCTGAAGTGAACAAGAGGATTTATGTCTTAAAGAACCAGAAAGTTATTCAAAAGGCAGCTTTGTTTGAGATGCTTTTGATTCTAAAGTGTCAGAATTTGAAGAGAATGATAATAGTGACTATCCCGTACAATTTTAACCATGTAACAATGGAATAAAATTATGCTGAATGTCTCAGATATTTGTCCTCCACGTTTTCAGTTCATATTTATTGAAGTTAATATTTCATTTCAAATCAGTTCATGTGTTTTAAAGTATTATGAGCATTTTATAAATGATGAAACAGTGGATAATTATAAAAGAGACTAATCCTTATGCTGAGCAATAAGATAATGTTGTTGGTAAAAGAAAACTGAAAGGCAGAAGAGAATGGAAACCTATATCGCCATATGAAATGCATTTGTTCCATATGCTTTCAGTTTTACAGGGTATAATGGAAAAAAAAAAAAAAAAATCTGACGTGTGATGACCATATGATTTTCTTGCACAGAATATTAAATTACATGCATTTTTCTTGTATTTCATTGAAATTTATTACATTGAATTAAATCTACTTCGTGGATAGCACATAAACCATGATAGAATAAATGCACTCTTTAAAATTCACCATATTTGTTTACCATAGCAACACTCTGGCACTAGGTTTACTTAACAGCGTTACACTTCCATTCATTTTATAACTACTTGAAACCAAGATGAATATTCAGTTCTTCATTTCATTTTATAACTCGGAATGCACAAAATTAATATCATCTGAAGAATTATCTAATTGTTGCCACATGCTCTATTGAAGTACTATAATAAATCTAAAATGTTGTATAAAAGAAATGAAACAAACAAGCAAAAAAAAAAAAAAAAAAGGGAAGAAAGAAAGAGTTTTCTACACAGACGATTCAGTATTTCTCATTCAATTAATTCATTTCTCACTTTGTGACTAGGCAAAAGTACATAAAAACTCAAATATTTATATTAAAAATTACGAAGTAAATCTGCGACACTTATTTCCTTGAATAAATTCCAGAATGAATTAGGCATGATTTAATTGGAAATAATAAATGAAGGCGTTATCTCTGTTGTTGCAAAGCTTAGTTTCTCTAGATTGGCAACAAATCCGCTATTCTGTCAAGTTTCAAATGTAAACAAGCATGGTCGCCATGGCAAAAATAATTAGGCTTAGCCGCACTTAAACAACTTTTAAATTGTTGATAACTCTACAAATATTGCATGCAGATTTACTAAAGGCATAAAACCTTAACCGAAAAATAAGAACAACATAATTCAATCATTTTTAAAACAAAAAATACACAATTTACAAAAATATAAGAATAAAGAAACTGAGATTATTGAGCAGAATAACAGAGTGGATATATATATAAATATATTTATAGACTTTTAGTGCGGCTGCTTGCAACCAAAATATGAGGTGCACATCATATTTTGGTTGCATCGTATCGTACTACATGTTATAGGAGTCCTCTATACAAAATTTTCAACGTTCTGAGGCTACTCGTTTTTGAGTTATGCAAGATACGTACGTTCGCACAAACGCTACGAAAAACTCTCTTCAGAATTCTTAATTCAGTTTTTATATTTTTTATGGTTGAGAGAGTCCTTTATTCTGTGCTTATGTGCAGATGTCATACAAAAACATTGCTAAATTGCATTTATTAGCCCTCAAATGGATATTTTCGTTGAAATATGATACCTGAAATTTTTCATGATTACAATACTTCCTTTTTACTTCATACAAGGAAGTAAAAAACTGAAGAAAGCATGAATTGGTCTAAGGAAACATTACTGGAAACTTCTTTTTTTCCATAACATTATGTCATATAATCCATACCATGAAATTATAAAATACTTACATTTTGTGAACAGTGATTCTCGTGATCCAAAAAATCATCTTAACTCAAAACTGTACAAAATATATAGCCTGTGTGTAAGTGTATAAAACAACAATAACCCTTGTAAAAGATATTACTATAGCTTAAACTTAGTTAAACGCCATTCATCCTGGTGCCAGTATGTACCATCAAGAAAAACAAAATTTGGTATTGAAACATACATGCTAAGCAAATCTAGTACTGGTAATTTTTGGTCGTTTATTATATATATATATATACAGTCAAGCGTCTTTAATCCGGACATCTATAATCCGGAATGATCTATAATCCGGACTTCAAAGCTACAAACTTTCTGCGCATGCGTAAACGCATAATGTGTTAACGTATGTGCATAATACCTTTATGCATGTGCATAATATGTTTACGCATGTGCGTTTAATGTATAACGGACGGTATAAGCTAAGCTAAAATTATCTAATTATCTATTTCAGTTAATGTTGCAAATTGCATTGTTCCTTAACCTTCTAATTGGATCCGGCTTATTATTTTTTGCAGACTGTTAGAGCAATTTTATAAAAGTAAGCTTAAACTTTCGATTTATGTCAAAAAGAATTTCCGATTCTTTAGCTGCCAAAGGATCTACAAAGCGAAAGCATGTTTTGATGTCCATCAAACAAAAAGTGGAATTGCTGCAAAAAATGAGTAACCTTTGTTCCTCTAACCAATTTGAAATCTGTTTATCAATTTCACGCTGCTCTGCGAGGGGGGGGGCGTCGCAGCACGCAATGAACTGGAAGTTGATCTGTCAGCACTATCCTTATCTTCAGGGCAGATGTTTTTATTTTATTGTGCTTATAATTCCTTACTAAATGTAGTATTAAATCTTGATGTACTCTGTCTTTGATATGATTTAAATCAAATTCCTCATCATTATAAATATCATGAATACACATCAAATAGTTTTCTGGTTGCGATTTTCTAATTTCGACTATGCGTAATGTATGCTTACGCATGTGCGCGTTGAAAGAAATGTTTAATAAAGTAAACAAATAAATATTAAACTTTTTTTTTGTAAATTTTGATACCCTTTAGATCATAATTGCTCTTATTTCATAAATTACGGTTTTATATTTTTAATTTTATAATTTCTGCATGCCGTCTTACCAGATTTAAACTGATGATCTATAATCCAGAAAAATCGATAATCCGAAATCGCTGAAGTCCCAACAAGTCCGGATTAAAGACTGTTGACTGTACCAAGTTTATTATATATATATATCAGTTTATTAAATATACCATTTCATCCTAAATTCTAATCTCTATTAGTATCTTCATATGTTATTATTACTTTGATGATATCATTATTGAAACAAGGCTACTGCATCACTTTAAATAATTACTATACTTAGCAGAATTATATGATATCCTTGTGATGTATCAAACAGATGTGGTTGGAACTGTTAGGCATGAAGTTATATCATTTAAACATGGAAAATAAACCTCACTCTGAAGTGGAAGGATAAAAAAAGAAAGTAACAGTGTTATCATTTCATGATTCTGAAACTGTTGAAGTAATGGCAAAAAATAAAAAAATTAAAAGAAACCAAAGGTTGTAACTGATTTGCAATAAAACAATGTCAAATATTAAAATATTTTTCATGTATGAGGGTGAAGGGGGTAGATTAAAAATTTTACTTGTCATCTTCCTATAATTCAAAGAATAATAATATAGTATATATCTTTTATTACCTGCTATTTAATTTAATTACATAAACTTCATTTTTTTATTCCCAGGTGTTGTAAAGTCATGCCAAAACTGTGTGGGGAGCGAGAACATAAAGCTAGAACTGTTTTTATCGGCCGAGCAAATAATGAAAATTTTCCACCAAATATCATTAAGAATCAAAAGTATAATATATTTACATTTATTCCATTAGTAAGTATTAAAAAAATTGCTTACTTTATGTAAATAATAAAAAATCTTTATTATAGTGATAAATATTCTAAAAACATTTCTTATGAAAATTGGCATTTTAGGTGACAAAACTCAGTAGTTGGTAGATATGCTTAGTTAAATTGATATGTTGGGGATGAAATAGTCAGAAAATTTGAGTGGGCTAATTCAGGTAAATTAATATGATTGTATCATATTGAATTTAACCTTATTTTTACTGCATGGACGAAAATGCAATAAAATCTGCTTTATTTTGAATCATGTGGGAACAAGTTAAAAACTTAAAATGCTGAATTTTTTAATATCTTGATGTGTATTTAAGTATTATCTATTGATAGTAATAAAATATATAGAGAACATGCTTATTTCATTAGTATCGATAGGTATGTTGTAGAGTCATTAGGTTAATTGGAAGCAGGAAAGATGAAAAATATGCAACCGCCTTCGCCAGGAATCAAACCACAGACCTCTGAAATACCGGCTCAGTGTGCCGACCACTATGCCACGAAGGCATGCTAGGAAAGCAGGAGAAATACCTTATATACTCCCCTTTTTAAAGGGCAACTAGGGTTTTAGGGGACTTAGTCACCAAATCCTGTGTGCAGAGAATTATCATCCACAACTCTTTTAGTTCGGGTGCCACTTGTAGAGTCATTAGGTTAATTGGAAGCAGGATAGATGAAAAATATGCAACTGCCTTCGCCGGGAATCAAACCACGGGCCTCTGAAATACCGCCTCAGTGTGCTGACCACTACACCACAAAGGCACGCTAAGGAAGCGGGAGAAATACCTTATAATGTAACAGATATGTTTATGTCAGGTATAAATAAAATGTGTGTTTTTTATATATGAATTGAAATCTAGTGTTACTTGAATCTGTTGCTATTAACTTGCCAGTAATGTCTGTTTCATTATTACAACAATGTATAGCTAGCTGTACAGGCATCAGCAATGAATAAATTTTACAGCAATCAAAAATGTGGTATGCTTCTTTCAAACTAATTTTCATTTTCTTCCCTTGTGATTTCTTTACGCTTTTAGGTATTATGCTGTCACTGAATATGCTAGTATGTTTTTTTGACTGATATATAATTTCATTATATGAGAGTTAACCTGCTCCCAACATTTGGTAAACTATAACCATGTGCTAGAGATGAAATACCCCTACTTATGGGTATTTAACTTGACCTTTTTATGACAAGCAACAAGCTTAGCTTGCACTCCAGTTATCCACTGCATAGAGCACAATTGAACACAGCTTGCATTACAGAATTTTGACTGACAGATATTGCATATGTCTGGGAAAAAAGAAGTGCTTAATCTCACAACTGCCAGAGGGATAACAGAGAGTTAAATTCAAACATTGATAACGTAGTCTAGCACTGCACATTAAACGGAATAAGCTTGCTGAGATATCTGGTTGTAACGAAAGTGTTCTGCCAAGAAATGTTCTTAATAATGTTAGGGGGAAAAAGCATGAAAGCAATACCTTTAGTGCGGGTAGTAATCACCATCCAATTCTATGATTTCTCTCAACATTTTTTAAAAATTTTTCAGACCCTTTGGCCTAGAAACTTTGTGACCACGAGTCCAAAATCGGATCAACCTCATTTCGGACGGGCTGTGCAGAGTGAAAGATAGCACCAGCAATTTGTAGCTGCAGGAGTGAAGAAAGGTAGCATTCCGAAGGAGCAATGTTGGGGCTATATGGTGGGTGTGGCAAAAGACCCCATTCGAGTCTGTACAGAGTCTAGCTGGTGAATGCAGACACATGTGGTGTGACATTATCTTGATGGAATTTTATCTTTTGGCACCAGAACTCAAATCAATGTTTTTCCTTGATAGCAGCATCAGCACAGACTAACATCTCGTACACCAGATAATCCCACCAGATAAAAAGCATGATCTTTTTGTTAGTCAAATTACACTTTGCGATGCTGCCAAGGGGCTCACTGGGCACAGACTAACCCCCTTTTTGGCCTATGTTGTTGAAGTAAATCCACTTTTCATCACAAGTGACAGTCCAATTCAGAATTTTGTTCTTGCATTGATATTTGGGCAGATTAGTGCAGGCCAGAATATGTCTGTCCTTATCCACTTGAGTCAGCTCATGTGGCACCTAGCGATTGAACTTGTACATCATGTTTATGTAATGCATAGTGTGACTAATGGACATGGCAGTAAGGTCTAGACACCTTGTACTTAATGATAATGATATTTCTTTTACAAATTTCATAACGCACTGTTCTAAAGCAAGTTTCTTTCTTTCAAATGCTAAAAACTGTTTGATAAAATGTAATTAAACACGCCAACATGAGCTGTTTGCGCAGAGGATATTTATGGTGGCGGGAAACTTTCATTAAGTCCTGATATTTGACTGGCGCATATTTAAAATGTTATCTAGCCAGAGTGCTAAAGCTGGAATATCTCTTTTGTGCAGAGCTTCCAAAAAATACTAACAGCAATACACAACTGCTAGAAGCTCTAATCGAAAAATTCAAAACCCTCAGTTTAAATACACACAAAGCTAATTTGCATTCTGGTAAAGAATATGGAAAAAAGAAGTTTATAGTAAAGATTTGAATAATAATAACTAGTTAATTAACATAAGATACTTTACAATTTTCCGTACCAGAATTTTTAAGTAATCACAAATGAATGTCTTCAACAACCTTGGGTAAGATTTTAAAATTCCAAGTTCTAACAACATAAGCTAACCCTTAACTTCTTAATTAAATTGTTAAATTTACATTCATGTTCTACAAAACCTGACTTTTAACATACTGAGATTTCTAATCCATCAGTTTTTCATGTTACACTTCTAGGACTCTGGAAGGAAAAATATTTTAACCTTAGAAATAATAAAGCTGCAATTTTTCAGCTTGCATTTCACAATTTTATGAAGGGTGAACCAGTGTGTGGGTGTGAGACTTTTCAAGAACTACCTACCAACCGAATTCCTATATGGTTAATAGCATTAGACACACTTTACTTTGAAGACACTGTATTTAAAAAATCTGTACCTAATGGTTTAGGCTTTGCTTTCATTTAACTTGAAAGTGTTGGCTGGAAAGCTTAAGTTTTAAATAATGTTATTTACATGAAACTAGCTTTTATTTTAAATCAATTCATACTATCTGCTAGCTTTTACATATTCATTTACAATGTGCACTACCAGAACACACATTTAAAATACATTTGTTCTTAATAGAATTAATGCCTACAAAACATTAAACTTCATTCAAAACACTACAATTCAAGATTACTTAGTTTAAACTTTGTAATATCTACAATAGTTGCTGTATTTGCTCTTTGCATGTGCTCCTAAATTTTCTATTCATTGACAGTCCTTTAAACTAAAGTAAAATGATCATGCTTAACACACAAACATAAAATTATTAAAGTTAGGTGAATAAATTAAACAAAAAAAAAAAAAAAAAAAAAAAAAAAAAAAAAAGAGCTTGTTTGCTAAATTAAACTTAGATGTACTGGTTTGAGGTAAAAATAACATAATATTAGTATTTGTACAATTACATAAAATAAACTAAATACCTAAAGAAATAAGATGAATGTTCACTGGCTAAATACTTAAGAAATAAGATAAACTAAATATTTAAAGAAAAGAAGATAAATCTTGTATTGTGTAGAATTTGGCCGTTCACTTCTCAAGGAATTCTGACCATGTCATGTAGGCACTGATCTTGTGGATTTTTATCCTTCTGTGCAGCTTTCCTCAACTTCCGTAAACCCTTTCTGCTTCTGCACATGATCCTTTATTCTTGTGGAGTTTGTTGGCTTTTCAGAGATTCAACTTGAGGTGGCCATTTCCTTGGAGTGCTCCTTCCCAATAGGTGATCTGCCATCTCTGGTTTTTTGTCACTGGTTCTTTTGATATCCATTGAATTAGTTCCTCTTCCAGTGTCTTTTGCAACATAAATTTTGCCTTGGTTGACGAGGCATTTTCTCATTACTACAAGTTGGTTGATGGCTTTGTTTACTAGAAATTCTTTCTTACCCTCCTTCCACTTGTTGTTTTTTCATACTTGAGTGTTCATAAAATCTCAGGGATCTTTAAACGGTTCCTTGACTCTTGTATATAGTCCTTTTTTTTTTTTTTTTTCTTGGCCTCCCATCCTCTATAGCTTTCCTTTTTGACATATCATCAAACCTTGGCCTTTTCGTTTTCATTAATGTATTTTTATCTGTTTCCTTGTGGTTTTTGTAATATGGACACCAATGCTGGATCAACCATGTTATTGAATGGCTCCTTCGGTGCTCAAGCCAGGTGTTTTTCGCAACACTTCTCTTATCAGTAGCATATAGCCCACTCATAGTACCATTTCACCTAATCCACATTTTCTTTTATAGCTTCGCCATTGCGTCCTTTTAAATACGTACACAGACTTGCCGATTTCTGCTTTTAAATACGTATACATACTTAAAAAAGGAAAGGAACTGATTGATGGCTTTTCGACCAAGGGGGACAGCTATGTGCTGCTTATGTTCAGAAAATAAAACACAAAAAGCACAAAGAGCAACTATGTGCATAAAACACAAAGAGAAGCTATGTGCTGTTCTGTGTGTTCAGAAACTATGTGCTGCTTATGTATGCCTATCAGTAATGCAACTTGCTGCTTAAATGAACCAGGGGACTATCATGATTGTGTCCAAAATAACAATTCAGCAAACCTTGCTGCATATACGGCACTACAGCAGATGAATGGTGATAGCATTTTACTAACAATTTTGTACCGACAGTTACAGGCTGAAATTTGCATAGCAATACCAACAGTGGACGCCCACTAATTGACAGATGGTTGCTTTTTCTGATGAATCACATTTTTTCATTATTAGATGGCTAGATGTTAGCAGTTATAGAGAGAAATATCAGAGGACTACTACCCTTCAACAATTTATCAATGAATATGAACTGGCAAAGGCTTATTATTATGGTCTGGGGAATGTTTTCGTGGCATTCTGTAATTCTCTCATCATTGTGAATGATTATTGACCGTATTAAGTATGCATCAGTACTTGCATACTATGTACACCCATTCATGAAGATTATATTTTTTTCCCTCTGGGAATCATGCATCTTACAGCTTGATAGTGTGATATGTCTTACAGCTAGGGATGTATGTGAGTAGTTGAAGAAGCATGAAGAAAGGCATTACTGTACTTCTGTGATTCTCAGATTCCTCAGACTTAAACCCAACTGAGAATCTGCCACATTACTTCGATTGGTTGTTGCTATCCAGATCATATGACACACACTCCAGTAACTCTCAGCTATACAGCAGTCAGTGTAATTCCATCACCATGTGAACACTTTCAATGCCTTATTAGAATCTCTCTCAGTTCGTCTAGTCACTGTCTGTGCTACAGGTTGTACAGAGTGTGGCAGAAAGAACTCGCCAATTTCATAAGCTAATAAAATCAGAACCAAATCCAAGAATTTTCTTTTTATTCATTGAAAGTACATGTAATACCATTTTACGTCATTGTGTTTTGTTTTAAGCAAAACTTTTAAATAACTAAGTGGTGGCTAAGACTTTGAGAGTTATTTCTGGCATAATGGCAGCAACTTCTTGTTGGATTCTTCACAGCTTTCATTGCACAGCTTCACATGGGCCACCCAATGTTTATTTATTTATTTATTTATTTTAAATCAAGAATAGGTCCTGTTGACTGATTGAGAAGTGGATGCAAAAGGCAAGCTTTTTTGCTATTGGCAACCTGCAGTTGTGAATGAATAAAATGTATAATGGAAGCAGAATGTCGTCCTGATCAAGCTATGATCTGTTCTGGAGATAGCACATTAAGTCACTATTTGATGGAATGCTTCCCCATTATTGTACCCTCTCCTGAAATGTAGCTATGCTACTCCCAAATCAAAGAGTTCCTTCTGCCGTACCCTGTAATTATATTTGAACAACAGGTAATCACATTAATGTGACTCGATTCTGTACTCCTCTAAAATACAAATTTGTAACTAGAAGATAAAGGTTCATTAAATTAATATAGTGGCTGCATAAAGTACAATTCATTCCTAGTGGTGTGGAAGAAAATATAAACACAGGTAGTAGAAAGGCTAGAAATAAGAAATAAATTAAGATTTTAATGACCAAGTTTGCCAGATGACAATGTAACTGATGTTGTAGAAAATATTTACCTTCCTATTTAACAACTTTTATAAATAAATCTAGTTGTTACTGCATATTTGTGCATGTAGAGTGAGAATACAATTGCACTTGCACAGAATAATTTTTTTGTAGAAACACTGTTTTTCAGCTTTCTCGGCAAAGCATCTCACTTTTGATTATATGAGATCATTATTTTGTCTTCTGAAATGCTTTGAAAGTTTTTAATCAATATAACTATCAAACACTGAATTTTTTTTATTATTATTATTGATGCTGCCATGCAAGTCTTAATATCTATTGTTGTATCAAGAAATGTAATTTTAGTTATTTTGTTATTTTATTTGTAAATAAATAAATATTTTTAAACTGGTATAAGTGCAGGTAATATTTTTCATATGTTAATATTTATATGATTTTCACTGGAATTTTTTCCTCATGTTCTAGGTGCTGTTTCATCAATTCAAATTTTTTCTAAATCTGTATTTCTTAGTCATGGCACTTTCACAGTTTATTCCAGATGTTAGAATAGGCTATTTATATACATATTGGGGACCACTAGTAAGTGTTTCGTGCTTTTTAAAGATGCTTTGCATTGTAATAAATTTTAATTTATTGTCATTACTTTTATTTATGTTTAAATTTCCTCGACTTTTTATCTCTTTTAAAAATTGTTTTATTCAGATAGCATTAATATTAATGTAAAAATTTGATTTTTTATTAGACTTGTGTGAGGTAGGGTGAACTTAATAATAATATACATAATAATAACATACGTATAATAATAATATACATAATATATATATATATATATACAATAAAGATCGTACAACATTAGATATATATATGTACTTAAGTTAATGACTTGTTTTTTATTTCATAGATAATAGATGCAACTTCTGATTGATAGCATAATATTTCTAATGAATTATTACTCATTTTTGCAGTAACATTTAGTTTAATTTTATCTGTCAATCTATTTGCCTCTCTCTCTATAATAGGTAGTTAAACTAGAAATAAATTCTAATCTATTTCCTAGGACTTAAAAATTCAAGAGATATTTAAATCAAAGCCATTGGCAAACTAACTAACAGGAGTAACATAAATCAAAGTTGAAACAAAAACAATATAATAAAACAACATCATAATGTAAAAAGATAACAACAGTTGAAAATCCCTTTGTCTTAATAACTAATGTTCATAATTTTGAAATTTCTAAACCTTATATGTATGTGTGTGTGTGTGTGTGTAAGGTTTTTGGTCTGAAGATCTTGTTGGCTAATTCATCCAGTTAAATATTTTCCAGAAAATCATACACCAAATTAGCCGTATGTGCATGAGAGTTGCCATTCCATAAATTGAATTGAGGACCAACTGCACTCTTAAAATGTCTTGCGTAGAGCTCGAGATCTATTTTCAAAAAGACCTGTTGTTAACATTCAGTTCCCTTTTTAGCACAAAAACATATTTAGCATGGTGCAGAAAACATCTGCTTTGGATCTAACATCAGTAAGCAGACCATTTTTCTTCACATATAAATCCTAATTCAACCTAAATGCTGATTCTTAAAATACTTTCATCTGGAGAGAACATGAGCTTGCTATGTATTCTCCAATATTGCAGAAGAGAACCAGTATAGTAGTGGAAGCTTGGTGATCTGTGCAGCCATCATCTTGTATGAGCACAGAGATCTTCATGTCTTCAAATGCTGTGAGTTATAGAAAAAAATCTTTGAGCCCTGTGTTGATATTTTTTGGGACACAGATAGTCCGTTATTCATTTTTATGGATGACAACATTCTTCCTCAGAGGGCTAATGTGGTAGATGATTTTTTAGAAAATGAAAATATAAACCTGATAGATTGGTCAGCCACATCCTTAGGCCTTATGGAACATGTCTAGGAAGCTCTTGCAATTTACTTTCCAGAAAGGCACATAAATTGCCTCATTTCCAGTAAGAAATTATGTTATGAGTGCTAGTCTGCTTAGACTAGTCCTTTATTAATGACTGCTAGAGTCTTGCACAGTGAGATGCAAAATACAGCAAATAAGGCATTGATGTGCCATATTAGCTTTATTTTTATTTGTTCTTGCATCCTTTGTTTTAGACCTTCCTGCATTAGTAAGCATTACGTACAATCATGCGTATGTACCCTGATTATTATATGATACATTTGTTGTGTATTATATTGTCATATGTCCATATCAAATTTCTTTAAAATTGTTCATTTGTTCTGGAGATACTTGACTAAATATGAAATTCTCTTAATTTTGGACAATGTGTATGTAAATAAAATTTGTTATGAGGAATGTCTTTTTATGTTGTTGGTTGGTAGGGTTGTCAGTTATTTGACTCATGCTATACTATCACTAATGATGTTTTGCATTCATGGGTTGGAAATAACCCACTATTTTTGTGGAATGTCTTGTTAAGGCTGCTGAGCATCATATGCTCAGCATTATTAGTTGAATACCTAGATTTTGTGATTGTAACTAATCATAAACTGGTAAATAGCATGTATAGCATTACTTTTCTTAATAACTGAATGTGTATGTCTATTCAGCATAGCTGCTGCGTTTAAATATGCATATGTCGAATGCATAGCTGCTGCATTTTAATATGAAAATGAGTCGCCCTCGTCCGTCCAGCAATCGCTGGACCATTAGAGGCTTCATCACGACAATGTGCTGAGCCAAATTGCTTTGCTGCCATGGACTTCTTGACTGAAAATGGCATCACACAACTTCGCAGTCACCCCATAGCCCAGATGTTACTCCTTAAGACTTCTTCCTCCTCCTAGAACTGAAAGGCTCATGAAAGAACATGAGCTTGCTATGTATTCAAGGCCATTCAAGATGCTGTAACGAGTGGGCTGAAGAGCATTCCAGTTTCTGTGTTCCAGGGAGCCTTCAGTGGTTCACAGTCTCTGGAAAGGCTGTGTTGTTGCAGAAGGGACATATTTAACTATTAAGTCGATGTGTCAAAACTATGAATAATTTAAAAAAAAAAAAAAAAAATTCAGTCCTACTATTTTCCGAACAAATCCTATATGCTTTATCATTAGTACTTTATTTAATTCTGGCAGTCTTGTATTATGCTAATTTATTAATTAAACTTTACTACACTTACATTTTTACACTTGTGTATATAAAACAATACAAAGTCCAAAATCCAGACATCCATTATTTGGAATAATCTTGCATATCTGGATGTGTAAGTCATTAGCCCCCCCCACCCCCACCCCCACTGCTCTACCCTGAAATCTGGGAAAATATAGTTTTAAAAAAATGTGCGTTGTAAAAGTGATTTTTCTCTCAGTTATCTGAGATACCTACATATCACTTTAAAAACAATACATTGACTTATGGATGCTTGGATACTTGTATAAAACTGCCATTCAGCTGTTAATTCTTAGCAGCTCTTTTTTTGTATCAGTTTATCCCATGAAGAAGCCTGATGAGTTTAAGGCTGTTCATGTAGTTTCTTAGGAGAATATGAAAAAAAAAAGGGAGGTACATTTGGCTCTGGAAAAATCATTGTGTAATGAGAAGGTGATCTCATCGAAGAGTAAGTTTTAGCTGAAACGGGAGATGAGTATCTAGATATGATGACTTGGCTTCCAGAGAGAGCTATGGTCACATGATCTTGAAAGGCAGCCAGGAGTCTTAACTTACTGTTTAGTAAGGAGCAGTATAAAATTGAGAAAAATGTGTGAAGCAGTAAGATGTTGAATATAATCTTGTGGATAAAGTTTAGTTTTAAAATGAATATCATTTACTTTTAACTCATGGAAGGTCTTAAGGTGATGGTATTTGTTTAGTAGCTCTGCAGCATTTCCTAAAGAATTATACTATAAATTGACATTAGCTTCCATCACACTTCCTCCTTTGAATGGTTGAGGGGGTTGGGAGCATTTTCTATCTGACTTGAACAATAAATGAAGTGCCAAGATATAATATTTGTTTAAAGTGGGATTGCTGTTATAGGTTATCTTTGTTGGCACAATAGTAGAGAGAAGAAAAGGAGTTAGATTCTGAAGAACTTCAGTTAACATTGCAAGTTGTGCTCTTCCTTTATAATTTGAAACAGGTTATTATTGTTTAAAGGCTATTATTATTATAGCTGCCTTTTCAGAATTATTCACTTTTATCAAAAAAAGTTTCTAATTCTGGAGCTGCAGATATATTTGATTCTTCAATGGCAGCCTTATATAATTTTTGTTTAAGAAAGCACAATTTCAAAAATGCGCAAAACAATAATCTTGTTTTGATGTGAATTTTGAATACTGTAGAAGGCAAAATTTTCTAATTAAGGGAATTTATGAAGAAATGTGGAGAAATGGTAATAATAAAAAATATATAATAGTAAGGTGACCAGTTCAGCAAATTTTCAGTCCCTATGCCGATTTTTTACAGCTTTTTTCAGTTCCGAATTTATAGCATTTGTTCTGAAAAACAGTAAAGTGTGAGGCAGTAAAAGTTTAAATGCATATATGTGTTTAAGTATTGTAGATTACAGACTGAGAATACAAGCTTAAGTTAAGAAGCGTGTGTCGTACTGGCCGCATAAACAGCGTTTACCTTAAAAATTATAGTAGGGGAATTTTGTTTCTCTCTTCAACCCTTCATCATACACAGAATTTTTGTTCACAACTCAAAGTTGCAGTTCAGACTTTCACTTACAGACAACACTGCAATTTTTAATTCATATATTAATTTGATTGTGATTTGAACTTATAATACATACATATATTTTTTAATTATCAACAGTGCATTACATACTTTGGTATCTATCATCCCCTTATGCATTATTACATGGTATCTACAAATAATTCTTTTGTCATTTGCTGAAATTAATTTGTAGATAGATCCATCTAAAATCATCTTTCTTTTATCACATTTAGATCCTAAAATTTTTACCCCATCGTCGTTTTGATTTTGCAGAAGGGTTAAAAGTCTTTAAAAGTTTGCCAAAACAATGATGTGTAATGTTACATTTCCCGTTTTCCAACAAAATATATTTATTATTTATCAATGGTGCATTACATACGTGCTAAAGGTATTTTTTTCAGCAATTTAATTTTATTTATTATTTATTTTTACTATTGATGTTTTTAGTAATATATCCCCCCCCCAAAAAAAAGGAAAGTGTGTATTTAACGGAGACCTACAGAAGGAATACCCTTTTATTGAAAAGGTATAAGTGATTCCGATGTATGGTGCAATATGTTTTCTTCAAGATTTTCATAATCCATAGTAGATGTGCAGATATTAAACTTCATATAAATAGTAAAAAACTCGAAATGTTAAAGTCTGTTGCTGCATCTAGCTTGTCATTAAAGACTTTCTTCAAACAAGAGAAAATGAGTAATAAGGTAGAAGAATTAGCTGCTATATAGAAGGGACTTTTGCATACCGTACTGTTTGCCACAACCGTAGCTATAGGTCTACGAATTGTATGTCCAGAGTGCTTCAAGTAGCCATGCAAGCCTAAATTTACATATGTGGGAACCAAGGCTGAAGCAATAATATTGTTTTCATGCCTTATGCTTCCATAGCTTTGTACAATGATTAGAAGAAATATTCATTTGTTTCAATCTTAACTGATACACCCAATTACAGTCAAAAGTCGTTAATTCAGACAGCCATAATCCGGAATGGTCTATAATCCGGACCTCAAAGCTACAAACTTTCTGCGCATGCGTTGCGTTGACGCCGCGGCACGCAATCAATTGGAAGTTGATCTGTCAGCACTATCCTTATCTTCAGGGCAGATGTTTTTATTTTATTTGGCTTATAATTCCTTACTAAATGTAGTATTTCATCTCGATGTACTCCGTCTTTGATATGATTTAAATCAAGTTCCTCGTCATTATAATTCGCTTCCGATAGTGAAGAAAGTGACACAGAGGTTATTAAAAACGAAAAAATTTCGATTGACAAATTAAGTCGGTATTCTCGACACAGCAATTATAAGACTTGAACAGCGGAACTTTGTAACTAAACAAAAATTATGTCTGTTTAACAGAATTAAAGAAAAGTATTATCACATGAAACGAAGCAACTTAAACCTTACATTGAAAGAAATGTTTAATAAAGTAACAAATAAATATTAAGCTTTTTCTTTTTGTAAATTTTGATACCCTTTAAATCATAATTGTTCTTTATTTCATAAATTATGGTTTCATATTTTTAATTTTATAATTTCTGCATGCCATCTTACCAGATTTAAACTGGTGATCTATAATCCGGAAAAATCGATAATCTGGAATCGCCGAAGTCCTGACGAGTCCGGATTAATGCCTTTTGACTGTATATGAAGAATATGTTTACCTTAAACAATATATCACGGAAGAAAAAATACTGGAATGGTAAAAAAAATAAGATGTGCCCAGTTCAGAGGTGGATGGAAATAACTCCATATTTTAATAGGAACCAGATTCTTGTTCGAATATTTTAAAACTGCCAGAATTTTTCTCCCGTCTTTCTGGCATTAATGCTGCAACTGAGTGAGTATTTAACGTTATGAACAGGTTTTGGACTAGAGATATGAAAGTGGACACTTTGAAGGGTATGTTAATCATTAAAATAAATTTTGAGGAAAATTGCATGGACTTTTATACGAAGATCAAAAAAGAAAAAGATGCTATAAAAATTATTCATGCTTCAGACGACTATAAGGCAACTTCATCAAAGTAATTTAGAAGGATTACAAATATATATATGTGTGTGTGTGTGTGTGTGTGTGTGTGCATGTTTAGACCTATATACTATCTCCATTGCGATCACAATAATAATAAAGTATTTATCTGTAAAAAAAATTAAATATTATAAAAATAGCATCCTGAATTTCGAACTTCAAAATCTGGTTACCTTAATAATATAAGTTTTCTGTTACAATGACAGTGCTGCAGTCAGCTATCTGTTGAAATAACTAGCAATCAAAATCTCTCTTATTGTTTTTATATCCAGAAAATAACACTTCAATTAGTGAAAAAAGTGACATAAAATTTCTGAGAATGAAAAGATTTCATTTTACAGTTTGTTAGGTTACGGTATTTGAACAGTGGAACTTTGAATAAATTATGTCTATTTATAAAATTAAAAAGAAAGTATTAACACAAAAAAGTTTAAATAATTACATTGAAAGAAATGTTTAATAACAGAAGCAAGTAAATATGAAGCTTTTTTGGTAAATTTTGATTCCCTTAAGGTCATAAATGCTTCATAAACAACTATTTCGTACTTTAAATTATATAATTTCTACACATTATCATGTTCCATTTAAATTAATCACGAAATTTCAAAAATCTGGAATTCCCCAGGTACTGACAGTTTAATATGATGACAGTGTACTGTACTAGTATTTTATTATATGTAATGTTTGCTATTATCTGTGATAGTTCATAGAAGATACGACCAGCAGTTACTGGGGTCACAACTTTTATTGCTCAATTCTAATATTTTTTTGGTTCCTTTTTCTTGGTATATGGTTCTTAGTTTACTTTATTTCTCATATATTTTAAAAGTATGTTAGGTAGTATTTTAAAAGTATTTTAATGTTAAACTTATTAGAAGTTATGAGTTTTGTTTTATTTAATGGTTTATTTTTTATGTATGTCTCTCTCTCTCTATATATATATAGATGTATATATATAGAGAGAGAGAAATCAATGACATTTTTAATCTCTTAGGGCTTTGTATTAACTGTAACATTGATTAGAGAAGCTATTGATGACTTCAGGAGGTACAGACGAGACAGAGAAGTTAACTACAGAAAGTATCGTAAATTAACATCACGAGGTGTTGTACAAGTTCCTAGTGCAAATATTAAAGTTTCTGACCTTATCATTGTAGACAAGGTATGATGAAAAATTTTAATTAGTATTTTCTATTTCTTTTTAAGGCCATTCTTGTGATTTTCATATATTTAATAAATGTAATGTGCATAGAGTAACTTGTCATGCAGCATATTTTGAAAAAGATGAAATAAACCTTAATAGGTGTTAAAACACAGGATCAAAAATTAAGCATAAATGCATTAAAAGACCCTTGTTGATAAAACCAACGAAATGAAGATCCAATTAATAAAAAAAAAAAAAAAAAAAAAAAAAAAAAACATTAATTGTGAATAATTACAGTAATTGCTTAAATAGCTATTGTCATCACATAGGAGTAATGGGAAAATTGCAAACTTTCTTGAATACATCAAGCACGTTTCACATAGCTACAGCACTAACTGAAATTTTGGATATGAATTCCTCATCAATTTCAAAGGAAGTGTTACAAAACATGGTATATCAGGCAATCATGAGAATGTGGTATATATTTCACTCACTCTAATAGCCCAGAAAAATTACATAATTATGTTTTTTTTTTTTTTTTTTTTTGAAATGGGCTCAAAATTACTAAATTCTTTTATTGTCATAAGCAAGAGAATCTTTATAAATGCATTTTTGCATAAAATCTGATCCAAAAAATTGTTTGTATGCTTATAAAAGTTTAGTACTTATGTCATTATTGAATCAATAGAGTAGAAATTTTTAGAATCATATCCTTTATTTTATTTTTTGCTATTCATAAAGTATTTTCAAAGGAGCTTTTCTTAGGTAGTGATTCAAGATATGTGTAGAATCAATAATAAACGTTATTATCAATAAATTAGAAACTTTCTATAATGTTAATTTTAAAACGATGTGCATTAGACATATTTCTCAGTTTTGTTTTTGGCAGATCATTGCAGTTTCAACTTATCTTACTGCTATAGCTCATTGCTATGAATTAATGCTGCTTATGACGTAAATTTTGTCTAATAATGGCTGATTAGATCAGATTGCTGAAATTGGATTCTGTTTCTGGCTGTGACTGAGTAAGCAGTCTGGTTGTATGTATTGTATCCATGTGAAACATGAATATGAGTTAGCTTCTTTCAGAAAATTCTCTTTGAACATATTCCATCTGAGATAGATATATGGGCTTTGAGTGTTTGGCCTAAACAAATAGCGTGCTTTGGCCTTTACTTGTGCAGCATCTTCTATCACAGCATACTTATTACTTTTTTTTTTTTAATATAAAAGTATGTATGAAGCTTTGAACTTCTTGTTGGGACCTGGGACTTTTTCTCAGAATCTAGAACTTTTTTAATATTTATACAAGATAGAACTGAATGTCTGTAAAAAGCAATTTTGTGTTTATAAAGGCAGAACATTTTTTAAATAAAATGTATCTTTTAGATTTTTTAATTGCTATTTATGTCTATAACTGCTTAAATACAGAGAAAGCTACAACCATTCTGTGATTCTGCATCTGTAAAAGATGGGAAGGGCATCAATAGGGGTTAAAAAAATGTTTAACTTCAACAGACAGTTCCATGTTTAAACTAGTCTTACAAATTTCATGCCTATAACTTTTTGCAGTATAAATTTATGTGCAAAAAGGACAGTTAGGCATACATTAATTTATCCTTTCAAATATGTATTCAGTCATTAATTAAAGTAATTGTGTCTAAAATCTGGTAAATAAACTCAAAAATTACATGTGCTTGTTTACTAAAGGCTTATATGTTGGATTTTGCACAGAAATGGTCTTTACTGGTAATTTTCAGCACAATTATCCTGGCCCTAAATTAAGCATTTATCCTAAACAGATAGGGATGGTATAAGTGATCACAACTGATCAATTTAGTATGTTGAGTAGCATATAATCCTTGTCAATTATTGTTTAATTAAGTACTTTCTGAAAGTTATCTGAAGGTTTAAAGCCTGTAAATTTCAGTTTATATTATACAGGGGGAAAGGGAATGTCAGAAAAATACTAGCAAATTTATTAGAAATAAAATTAGTTAAAATACAAGTAATACTAGTACGAGAAAATTGCTTTATAATACCAGTTTTATTTTTACCTGTAATGTTATCAAGCTATTAAAGTGTATTAAAAATATGCAGCTAAAATTTTTGGTATTTTAAAATTCACTGCAGAACTAATGTATGCAGTACAGTTTTGACAATCTTCATCCTTTTTCAGAAGTTTGCAGTTTGGTAAGCTTCAAATATTAGTCTATTTTTTATCTATAATAACAGATGTGTGTTAACTGTCATATGTGTGCTGAATATTTTTTGTCCAATAATTAGAGTGGCTTTCATATGCTGCTGTTACTAAAAACTGTGTAAAGTTTAAACTGCTTTTTAAATTAGTTTCACAATTAACAGGATCAAAGAGTTCCAGCAGATATGGTGTTTTTATCTACTACAGAAAAGAGTGGAGCATGTTTTATCAGGTCTGATCAGCTAGATGGTGAAACAGATTGGAAATTAAGGCTTGCTGTTTCTACTACTCAGAGATTATCTTCAGCTGATGTATGCAGTTTTATTACTATTTATAAATAGAATGCTTTAAGAATAGTTTTGCAGTTTTAAACTGGCACATTCTTTTAATGCTGTAAAATACATATTTAATATTGTAACTAATTAGTGAACCAAATGGTTATAATATTTCTAGAATGAAGATTTCAGTTTTGCTAATATATGCTGTGTTTTCAAATAGCTTGATGCAGTTATTTCTTCAGTAAGTGAACCACTCAAAGCAATTTCACAACAAACCAAAAGTGTCACAGAAGTGAGACCCTGTACATGGCTATTTCTTACAAAAAAATTTTATATCTGTATCGAGGATTCAATTTTCTGTTAACAATATATGTGTTCCGTTCTTAGTCTTATAAACTAAGGTTAACATGTTGAGGACGGTGTGTACCACCGGTGGCTCACACATGAATGGTTTATCTGGTGATGTGCACCACCAGTGGCTCGCATATGAATGGTTTATCTGCCGCTGTGTACCATCGGTGGCTCATACACGAATGGTTCATTTGGCAGCGTGTACCACCAGTGGCTCACATCAGCTATAGTTTTATAACACAGTTTTGCTAAATGAAAAAAAAAAAAAAAAAAAAAAAAAAAAAAACTCTATGTGTTAATATATTTATCTACTATATCGTATAACACTACTTTGCTAGACCCATAATAATGAGTATGCGAATAAACTTTTTTATTTGTCCTGTTGTAATTGGTGTTTTATGGTGGTGGATAAAGAACTATTTTTTACACCATCGTTTAGTTGTTCAACATATCTATTTGTTTCATTCACTATTAATTCTAGAACATTGTCTGATAAAAATAACTGGTACAACAGTAAAAAGGAACATCGCAATTAAAACTTTTGTGCAAAAATTGCTCGTCTTCCATATACTGACATATCACACTGCTTCTTTCTGTGACCTACTGTCATTCTGTCTCCTTATCACTTTTTCTGAATCAGCTTCTAAAAACTCTGGCGTCGTAGTATATTTATCAAATGTACTAAAGGAGTCACTTTCCTCCAAGTCATAAGTATCATTGTTACTCTCCTCAGAAGAAGATGCAGTATCATCTGCCTTGATATTTGTCTGTGGAACACAATTGTAGACTCATCTGATGAGTCATCTATTATTGTAAAATCCATTTTCTATGGGGTGAAAATTCTAATATATTACAAATTTTACTGGCAATGTCTTATATTCTGTTTACCAGAAGAAATCAACTTTTATTTTTTTTTAAATTTCAAATTCTTGCGTACAAATTGAAAAACAAAGTTACATGCCAACAGCAGTTCGCTATCTATTAGTAATCCGTAAAGAATGAAGAATTATTCATATACACTCAACTTTATATTTACAGAACCAACTAAGTGCAAGTGCTTGCCAAACACAGAGGGGGGGGGCTGATCTTGTAAAGAGCGCTGCATATACTAAACGTATAGTAAAAGGAAAGTACACTTGAAACATAGTACAATTTTTACTGTCGTCCAATGGCGCGATAGCAAAATCTGCTCTGTCCTCAACGTGTTAAATTTACATGAATGTTATTGTAATGTTGCGAGATTATATTGCTCTGCTTTTTTCATTTTTCTTCTTCATCGCTTTTTTTAACCGATTGTCCAAAATTTATATGAAGGATTGAGATGAGGGTAAAGGAAACGTAGCCATAAAATGAGTAAGATAAAAGCTGAAAAAAAAATTTAATCCTTTGGCATTACCAAGATAAGCAATTCTTTCTTCCCAAATACATTTGTCAATCACAAATTTGTAATGCGAGCTGCATTCATTTGTGCCCACTGTGGTGCGTAATTGGAATGCAAGCTGAGCTCTCTGATGATTCAAAGTTAAATACATATATCAGCACATATTATTATAAGAAGAGCCAAAATATAAGTAGCTTTAGTTCTGAGTGTTATGGCATTTAAGTTTGTATATAATTAGATGAGAAGAATTATGTGAATGAAGTTAACGTATCTAATATCCTTGAGTATTATAATATGTCTAGCTACATCTTGTAAAATAATCTTCATTTATATTATAGTCATTATTGTGTGGATGAATATTATGCACTATAGCTGAAGATATAAAGTTGCACTGTGAGCTTTGGTATTCATTGCGATAAGTTATGTGAAAGACTGGGCTGATCTTCAATAATTATATGTTTACATTAATCTTTACATCACTGTTGTTAGATAGATTAAACATGTACGCACATTCAATATTCCCTTTAAAAGTGTTTCGTTATATTTCAGGAATTGTTCCAAATGGATGCATCTATATATGCTGAAGAGCCAAAGAAAGATATTCATAGTTTTGTGGGAAAATTTACCAGGGTTTGTATACAGATTATTTAATTAAATATAATGTAAGAATATGCCATAAAGTCTTCTAGATGATGCATTAAAAATGTGCTACAATAAGGTTCTTTCTTGTTAATGCTCTGTTTATTATTGTAGAATGACAGAGATGGAGCTGAAGTTTCTTTAGGCATAGAAAATACCTTGTGGGCAAACACAGTTATAGCTTCTGGAACAGCCATTGGAATCGTGATCTACACTGGCTGTGAAACTAGGAGTGTTATGAACAATTCTGAACCAAGAACCAAGGTTATTTATTGCCATATAATCTTTCTTATTTTTTTCCCTCTCCCCCATAGTTAAAATTATGGTTTAATGATCATCTGAGTAATATATAGAATAATAGGTATGCATTAAGTTCTACATGGTAGATGATATTTGTCATGACAGTATTTATCCAACTGCTATATACTTCTTATATTTATTGCGTCATTTTTAAACTAGCTTCAAAGATATTCTATTATTGTTGAATTTGTTGCAATACTATTGATATGCATGAAGTAGTTCTAATTTTAAACACATGGCAGTTTGCTACTTCATTGCTTGTTCGAGGAATGATCTTTACCAATTTAACCAAATAATTAAACAGGAACATGATCATAGCTTACTCCTTATCATTACAGTAGAGCCAACTTGTGACAGACAGCATAAGACCATGAAACCCCAGTGAACATTCTGGCTTTATGGGTATTTTTGCCGTTTTCCCCCCAAAAAAATCATGAAAACTACCAACTTGCACCCGATAAATAACTTTTACTTTTTTATCTGTAAAATATGACCAGATTGCACTAAGATGATTGGGCTAATATGTAAGTACCAAAATTTTTGACATTCAATATTAATATCTGGTTTAGGTAATTTTCATTGTTATTAACACATCAAAAACACTCATGAAATCATTAAAATGCTGAAAAATACTTAAGTAGAAGTTTTTATCTATTATTTTTACATTTCATTTAACAATATATGGAGTTTGCTTAGTTTCACTTTGCAATAACTTTAAAATTGTAGCATGCTTACCTGTATCATGGCCCTGCATTGTTATAAGAATAATTATTTTTAATTAATTTTCGATGGGCTAATTGTTTTCTTGAATTGTCAAAAATTAATATGTATTTAAAAAGTTTCATAAATAATTTTAGCCATTTTATCTTTAACATTTATGTATTTTTAAATTACAGGTTGGAATCACTGATCTTGAACTAAATCAACAAACAAAAGTGTTATTTGCTGCTGTTATAGGTCTTGCTCTAGTCATGATGTTATTGAAGGTTCGATTTGCAATTTTTATATTTTCCTGAAATCAAATAAATTTTGTGTTTATAAAATTGATTTTAATTAAATTGTTGATATTACTGAAAGGAGAAAACCCCAAAATCTTATTAATTCAATAGTTATCTTGATATTTAATTGATTAACCTATTCAGTAGGTTTGTACTTTTTAGATCAGATGAAAATTTTGTAATGCAGTATTTGGATACATTGTTTTGAAATTAAAGTTACTGCAGAGCTATTTAAAACATTCAATAAATTACGGAAAACTGCAAATTGTATATTGTGTCAGAAATGCCTTGTGGTATAAATGTAGCAGCTAATGATAAAATTATGTTGAGGGTAGTAAGTTGTTGTGCTATAATTATTAACAATAAAAAAAGAATAGTACTTTCTTCAATTTTAATTTATAATATTAAACTTAAGGCTATGATGTCAGTAAGATACTGTTTAATTTTGATTTTTAGAATTGGTAATAATTTAATTTTCAGTATTTAACATTTAAAATAATTTTTCTCATGATAGTCTCCTGACAGTTAAAAAAAAAATAAAAAAGTGATGTTCATAAAATCAAGGCTTCACATTACCAGCTTGAAGGTAGCATATGTGAAAAAGTCTAGATGATGAGATATGCTGCTGGATATACAGATCATAAACAACCCTTTAGTACATTGCTAATGGTAAAGGGGAAAGAGTTTATTTGAATAATTAGTTGAAGTTATGAATGTTGTTAATTTGACTTTCGCTCTGATTAAGATAATGCTGCAGGTGATTTGAAATTATTTTATTTTTTGATCCAAAAATCTCTACTTCTGGAGCATTATAAAGTGATCTATTCATATTTTAAAAGATTAACACTTGTATCATAATTTTTATTGTTAAGTATATGTATTTGGAAATTATAGTATGGGAAATTTATGCACTTTCCCATGCGTATTCTTGTGGTTAAAGCTTTCAGCTAGCAAATAGAAGATCTGTGATTTACTTGCATACATACATGTGTCTCATCAGAGCATGTATTGAATTTTCATATTTCCCATGCTAGGAAGTCTCTACAGTAGTGCCTAAACTAAAAAAAAGGTGGGTAATAAATTGCCATCATCTGGATTTAATCAACAAGAGATTGTGCCATTGTGCCCCAGTCATCTTTAAGTGGGAGAAAGTGTTAAAAATTATTGTATTCCCCCATGAGTCTAAAATGGTTTGTACATCCAGATGGCAATTAAAAGACCTGTGGGTTTTAATCCCAGTGAGGACTTGATTGATTTTTCATATTTTTGCTTTGAAAAACCAAAGAATCTGTACATTGATGTCTGGACTGAAACATGCTGGATAATAATTTGTCACCACTTGGATTTCTTCAACTGGGTCTCATTCCTCTTTTCAGTTGTGTGTTAAATGGGGAAGTATGTCATGAATTATTGCATTCTATTATGTAAACCTGATGTAGCTCATCCAGATAGTGGTAAAAATCTTCTCAAGGGTAAATTGAGTTTTCACATTTCTGGTGCCATGCAGCTTAATAATTTATGTAATGTTACTTTATCTATTGTTCTAAAGAATAATTTTTAATTTATGCTATTACTTACACATCTATTTAAGAATTAATTAAGTTTTTTTTCTTAAATATTCAGTATTATTTATGATTATTTGTTAAAATTAATTTTAAAACTCTGTCATTAATGATTTGTTTTAAATTAAATTTTGTTGTTAGTTAATGGAATTTTTATATTGTTGTTAATTTTATTTTGTTAATTTTGTTTGTTGTTAATTTCATTCTATTGTTTTATCAGAAGTTATGCAGTATAACATTTCCTTAATTTTGCTTAAAGTATTACTTTATTATTGCACTTCACATACAGCATTTTCTTTATTTTTACAGGGATTTGATGGTTTGTGGTATCGATATTTATTTAGATTCATTCTTCTATTTTCATACATTATACCTATTAGGTAATTTTGTTTGTTATGTACTTGTATTAATATTTTATTTATTGTAAATGAAATTAATCTCAAATAAAAATATTTAAATAATGAATTAACAGTGTAGAACTTAATAGGTACTGTCTTATTTTAGATACTGTCTTATTTAAAATGCATTCTTTTTCGTTTAAATCAACCAGTATGTAAATGAAATATATGCAGAATTATCATGTATAAAGTACATACAAGTTTACAAGTTTATTTTTAATGAACCGATGCTATGTTAACATGAAATCTCTCCTGAAGTAAATTCTCTTATTTGATTGTCATCAATATCCTTTGGTAACTAATTGACATTTATGAAAATTTATATTATTTTGAAATAACATGAATCTTAGAATTCAGTTACATTCATTTATAGTACTTAGAATGTGAATAGTTTCTGATTGTGATATATAAAGCGATATCAAGATCTTTAGTAAACACAAGCTAATTTTGGAAGCAGTCTGTCTACTAGAAATTGTTAATCGGCAGTCTAGGATATCAAATCTCATTTTTTTTCCCAAGAATGGAACATCCTGAAGATGTTTGTTCCATTTTATGGCAGTATTATCTATCAAAGTTTGCCTGATACTTTTTTCATCAGCTGTAAATAAGTTATATGGCTATTGCAAATGTGATCTGATTACTTTCAAAGCAGTTTCCATTTTCATTCTTACCAACTGCACTTGCATTTCCATTGTACATTTCTCTCAGTGTTGTTGGAAACTAAAACAGTCTTGTCTATTCTCCATTATTTTGGGATTTGTAAAAAATGGATAGCCTTAGTTTCATTATTTATAAATACCAAAGACCCATTAAGAAAATTACAAATGCAGAAAACATACAACAAAGTTGAGAGCAGTAATAGAAAAAAATTGAATACATGGCTAAAGTAAGATTGTAAATAGAACATAGTTGAATGATCATAACAGACATTTATTTTTGCCATATCTTGAGGCTAGCTGAAATTTCTGGTAGCAGCTTTTACGTCAGTATTCAATTTCCACAATATCACATATACATTATATGTATATTATTAAAGACTAAACCATGATATTACTACAGCCATTTCATGCTATGTTATATTTAGATTTATAAAATATTTATCTTAAATAATTGAGTGTACATAATATAGCATTAAAAATGTAACAATATTTTTTAATGCAGTTTAAGAGTCAATTTGGACATGGGAAAAATGGTTTATTCCTGGATGATTCAAAAAGACAAGGAAATACCTGGCACTGTTGTGAGAAGTACAACTATTCCTGAAGAACTGGGCAGATTAGTTTTCTTATTATCAGATAAAACTGGAACTTTAACAAAAAATGAAATGGTAAGTAATTGCCTATATATATGTGTGTGTGTGTATATATAAGAAATAAATATTTAAATGCCAAATACTGGTATTAACTTAGAGCTTTTTTTTGTGGATGCTAAACTAAAACATTCCAATTTTAAAAATGTTTCAGATTTGCAATCTTTATTTCACAGCTGTCATTTTCTCTTGTATAAAATTGAAATACATTGGCACAGTGATAATCTGTACATTTAATTGTATGAAGAATATAGGTTGCAGAGATTCTATTAAAAATAAATAAGTAAATAAAACTTGAAGATTAAAAAAATGTTTTTATTGTAACATATTTGTAGAAGCACAAATGAAGGGAAAATAATAACTTCTCATGCAAGAAAATGTTCTGTAATTAAACTGCACAAAATGCAAACTCTTATTACAGTAAATTTAACTGTATAATATAGGGAATGTGGCCACAAGCAGGGATAACATACGAGAATGCTGTTTGGATGCTGCAGATTTCCAAATACCACATTGTGCTTTTGTAATCCTATTGCATCTTCATTAGTCAGACTGCAAATTAATATATTTTAGGGAAATGTACCTTCAGAAAAATAAATAAATAAAATAGATAGGGAGAAACACTTATCAGAATAAATGTATGATTAAATCCTAAAAGTAATATTGGTATCTTCTGTAAGTGGTTTTCCTCATAATACTGTTCCTAGGATATAATATAAAATATATATATATATATATTGTTAGCAGTGCACCAATTAATGGCAAACATAAACAGCATGAAATCCACTAGATAGCAGCCGTAATGATATGTAAAACTCCATAAAACGATAACTATTTCATTAAATCCAGAAAAATAGAAAATAATATTGCAAATAAAAAATACAAAATAGATATTACTGGTTTAATTTCAGGTTACACAAGAGTCATTACTGCTGATTTTATTTAATATTGTCAAAAACAATTAAGTCTTTTCATGCACTAGCCACATATGATGTCAATGAAGTAGCAGTCATGATGCTGATAGCCAGTGCTGATCTGATATTTATTTCACTGTTTTGCACATAGCAGATGTATTAGAATCAATGAAATTCTGTTTATAGTTAACTTGCAGATGGTCTGACAAATGTCAATCCATGCTTTAAACAACCGAAAATCTAAAAGTTCCTGGCTTGATGTTCATTCTTCCCACTTATTCACATTATTATCATTGCATAGTTGTTCGTGATGTGATATAAATAGGTTACTGCATTTGGTGATTGGTTGGTACCCAGGTAACAGAAAATTGCTGAATATTTAGGCTCTCCGTGATGTGTGTATGTACATATTTGGAAGTAGTCTTTGAATTTTTTGGTCACTTTTAACTCATTTTCAGTCCATGAAAAGTAATCTGACAGTTTCTCTGTATATTCGCCATTTTATTCAAACATAGCATTAGAATTTTTACTCTTTCTTGAGCTGAAAATAGGAAAGTATGTGAATTGTTATTTGTTAAATTATCTTCAATTTCAGCCTACATACTGTCTTCAATTCTGTACAAGATCCTGAAATAATTGCTGAGGCTTTTTTAAATTATGTATATGGGGATATAAAGCTGTGTGTAATGATGCTTGTTTGATTTATAAAGTAATATAATATATATGCTGTCTCACTATAAATGATTAATTCTCCATTTTCTGTTTATATATTATACTTGAAACAAAGACTGTAAATAAATTTTATCTTAATGCTTGGAGAAACTTATCTTTTTAGGTAGTTGAGCCTCTATTTAAAAAAAAAAAAAAAAAAAAAAAAATATGCAACTGAATTTATGTAGCACTGTACACTATTTATTAATTCAAATGATTTAAAATTATCTAACTAGAAATGACAAAATGCAGAAAGGGGAAAAATTTGATGTGAATAATTGAAATTATGTATTATCCATTGTCTCATTAATCAAAAATATTTGGTAATAGTGATCACAAATTGCAATACCACCAAGAACAGAATTTTAACTTCCTGGATCCATAGCCGAAAATAGAAATTTCTTCTACGGCATCATAGAATATTGCAAGAACCGTAACAGCCCGAAAGGAGTGAGAGCAACCAGTGTAACTGACAAGGCGAGAGTTAATAAGAATAGTGAAATGTTTGCAGCATGTACTCCAGTGACCAGTGTTAGACAAAACAGTAATGTCTGAGAATCCATGTCTTCAGAGAACGTTATATCGGAGTTATTGCAGAATGTGCAATTAAACAATGAAAAGGTGAGTGCTGCCGAATGTGTCATTCAAGAACTTCAAGATGTTTTCTTCCACTCATCTTCTGACATGGGTTGAACAAGTTTGACACAACAAAGAATTGATACCAGGATTCATCTACCAATTCAGCAACATCCAAGATTTCTAATGATCACTAATCAGGAAGAGTTAGGAACATTTCAAAGAACATGCAAGAAAGCAATGTCATCGAGCCTTCAGCAAGTCCATGGGCATCTTCCAGCATCCTGGTCAGAAAGGTGGTTCAACTAGATTTTACGTTTACTATCGCCAGTTGAATTAGGTTACGAAGAACGACAGTTACCCTCTTCCTAGAACTGATGATATTCTTGACACTCTTTCTGGAAACAAGTGGTTTAAAAGTCAATATTGCAGGTAGAGATACATCTTGATGACGGAGAAAAGACAGCATTTACTATTGGACAAGGACTTTATCGCTGATGCTGTTTGGACTATGTAATGTGCCGGCAACATGCGAACGTCTCATGGAGACTGTGTTGAGATGTCTTTTCTACGAAGCCTCTCTGATATACCTGGATGACATCATCATTGCTGGAAAGAGTTTTGAAGAACATTTTGAAGCCAATCTAAAGTTAAGTCCTTCTAAATGTAAAATTATTCAGACAGGAAGACTTACCTTGGATATGTCATCTCTGCTAAAGCTGTGTGTACGGATATTGAAAAAGTGTCAGCACTTAAAGGCTGGAGATTCCTTGAAAATGTTCATCTGCTGAGAAGTTTCCTAGGGCTTTGGAACTGCTGTAAGAGTTTCGTGAAGGATGTTTCTTCCAATGCAAGACCTCTTCACAAGCTGACAGAGACCAAGCAAGAGTTTTTATAGACAAAGGAATGTGGGGATGCATTTAAGAACCTGAAGGAAGCTTTATTATCTGCTCCAATTCTGACATATTCTCAGCTCGACAGACCATTTATTCTCGACACGAATGTGAGCAATGAAAGGAGTGAGTGCTGTTCTGTCCCAAGAAATAAACGGCCAAGGACATGTTGTGGCCTACTGGAGCAACTGCCTTTCTAAACCGGAGAGGAATTTCTGTGTCATCAGGAATGTGTTGTTTGCCATAGTTAAAGCCATAGAACATTTCCATCATTGTCTGTATGGCAGAAAATTCCTGCTTTACATGGATCATGCATCATTGACCAGGATTTTAAATTTCAAAAGGTCAAATAGCCAGGTGGATACAGAGATTCCATGAATATGAAAACCCTTATGTCCAATGGGTTTGTTTATTAACTTTGCAATCTTCATTCTACCGAGATAAGAGATATGCAGGTTTGTCAACACCTTTGGCAGTAATGTTAGTCTTGAGATAACCGCAATTTTTGGCTTTCTTCAAAATGATTCTTGACAAAGACTTTTAAGGTTTCAGGCTGTTTGGGGATCCAAAAATAAGTAATTGTTGAGTCTCCGAAAACAGCATGGGATTTTCAGTTTCAATACTCTCAGAATATTGTAGTCTAACGTGGCTGATAACAGTGCCTCCATTAATTATAACTTCAGCTAAGTAAGAGATTTTAGTGAGGCTACCCTTTCTTTCATGTATGACAGTCTGTAGAAAGGCTTGCTTTATATATGCAGGGAAAGATATTGGATTGAACCAGAATCTTAACAAGATTTCGAATATTTTCGAGTATAAATTTGGCCCACCATATAGACAGCTATTTAAAGAAATGGAGCCTGAGGGATATGATATCACATTATAAATTATATATAGTTTGCTTGTAGTTCGATCCTCATGTATAACTTCCCAGTATGGTAAATAAGACATTACATCTTCATCATGGGCAACCTCTGTAACTGATTAGATGATATTTTGCTTTAAGTGATTTCTAATACATTTGTGTTTTCAAAAAATAGATTAAGATTTTTTTTAATCTTTTTTTTTTTTAATCTTATATATGCAGTGAAAGATATTGGATTGAACCAGAATCTTAACAAGATTTCGAATAAGATTTAAGAATTTTTTTCAAATCTTTTTTTCAAGTCATTTGAATCTTATTTCTGCAATTTCGTTATTATCATATAGATTTTATGTGTCATATTTCCAAGGCAATCTAACTTTGTAGTGGGAATTTTTATACATTATATTTGATTCAAAATATTTTTCAGTTAAATCCAAGTTTTCCTTCTTATCAACAAGTCCTGAATTATGGAAGTCCCAAAATGTTGTTATTTGTTCAGAAATAAATTCTTACCTCAGAATTACATTGAAAGTTAAACATTATTGTCATCTTTTCATCCTTATAGTCACCAGCCAATAGTAAAAATCTGTTCCAATTGTAATGGCAATGGATTCTCTACTATTGGGAGAATCGGTGAATATGAAATTTTTTAACTGTCTGCTTTGCCTAATTTCTTCTGATCTAGGAGGAGGAATGTTTGTACCTGATAATTGACCAGTTACTGACAATTCAACTTCTGTTCTAGAATCAAGAGAACTTCGGTGCCTTAAAGCATTTACCCATGTGTGTTTCTGATAGAAAGTGACAGAGAGGTTATTGAAAATGAAAAAATTTCAATTGACAAATTAGTCGATATTCTCGACACAGCAATTACAGGACCTTGACAGTGGAACTTTGTAACTGAACAAAGAATTATATCTGTTTATAGAATTAAAGAGAAAGTATTAGCACAAAAAACGAAGCAACTTAAACAACTTACATTGAAACAAATGTTTAATAATGTAAACAAATATTAAGCCTTTTTTGTTTTGTAAATTTTGATACCCTTTAGATCATAATTGCTCTTTATTTCATAAATTATGGTTTCATGTTTGTAATTGTATAATTTCTGTATGCCATCTTACCAGATTTAAATTTGATGATCTATAATCCGGAATCGCCGAAGTCCCGACGAGTCCGGATTACGGACTTTGTACTGTATATAGTGATGTTTCCAGAAGGGAATGCGTTAAGTAATCAAATTGGACTTGCAAAGCCAACTTTTAGCAATATCACAGTAAAAACAGTACTTGGCAGTTTGTTTTTATTGTAAATAATGTTATTTTATTAATTTCATGATTTTTGTAATATTTTGTAAATTCATAATAAGAATATTATGGAAAGTGTTTGGAAAAGGAATTTGTTTACATGAATTAATTTTAAAGATGATCATATTTAACTATATCACGTGATCATTTAGGTTTAGAATTTTTGTTGCCAAATAATTCTTTTGGGAATTCTTAGGTTCCCTTCCCCCTTTAAAAATCTAAAATCATTCAAAATATGTGCAGATTTCATCTATTGTAATAAAAATTTATTTTATGATAATTCATTATTTATCAAATGATAAGCAAATAAATGATAAATGTTTTATGATAATTAACAAATTACATTAAAATAAATGTAATTTGTTCAGAACCATAGGATTGTTTTAAATGATTTTTGGTTTTCTTAATAGGTGTTTAAAAAGCTTCATTTGGGGACAGTGGCATATGGATCAGATTCTTTTGATGAGGTAAATTAAGAATTTTTGTATTTGCAAAAATTATTCTACTAGATAATATTCTCAAATTCTTTCATGCATATCTAAATAGTTTTGAAAAACAGAGCTTTCATGAATATTTTATTGACAGATTAAAAGCATTTTATGAGCTTAAATGTAGTGAAGGCACATTTGTCATTTTGAACAGTAAGTGGTAACAATTTCAGATGTGTCCTCTCCTTCTTTTTCTTTTTATTTATGAAACTGCAGTTGTCAAGTTATACTGAATTATACTAATAATTGTAATAATGCATTAAATGTATCTCTATTGCGTAATTATTTATAAAAGCATATTTGGTATTTTAACATACAGTGCTTGGATGTTAAACTAATATAAATATGTATGATATGTGAAACATCCAGCTGTATCGTATGTCATATATATATATATTTGTACATATATGTAATGATTTTAAAATGCATAGATGAAAACAGTGGAACTTTTAACAGCTTACAATACTGCGTAGATGACCGAGAAGACTGTAGTGTGGCAGAGTGGAAAAGCATGATGATGCAATTTAGCACAATGTATCTTGAAAAATCACAATCTTTATTTTTTTTACGTCTATCAAATCATTTTTTTTTCAGACAAGATGTTTCCTAATTATATTTGAATACAGTAAGTTGCATTTTGAAGTACAACGTCATTTTAAGCAAGTAAGCAGCAGCAGCGTACGTAAAAAGCATCTTGCCGGAAGGAGAGCTTATGTGGAAAAGGGAAAGAGTTATAGTACTTTCAGAGAAAAAGGTTGGGAGGCGGAAAGTTACAGTTCACAGTTTTGGTTTACAATCAATTTGATTGGAGAAGAGGTATCTGCATTTAAACATTACGTAAGATAGAAAAATCTGGAACCTGTGAGAAGAGATGAATTCAGGGGCAGATTACCAAATTTAGAATGTTACTTTTGAGGTCGCCAATTATTATTATTTTTTTAAACAGCTATCATATCTTGTTATATCTTGCATATATATATATTATAAATATCCAGTTGTGATTACTGTTCTAGCTGTGTTATGTTCTGATGTAATCAAGCAGTTAATGTAAAAGAGAAAAAAAAAAAAAAATATCATGCATGCAGTAGAGTATTTTAAAATTTATTTTAATTATTTTCTCTGAAATTCACAAAGTTTTTAAAAAAACTCTGAGGTGCATTTCCTGAAGTAGTTTATAAAATAGAAATAAAATTTTATCCCTTCCCCCTTTTTTTAAATTGTATTGTAAACTAGAAGTCATAAAAATGTTTTAATATTAGATTACTAAATCCCCTTAAAATTTCTTGTCTACTTAGCAAATATTGCATGATTTCTGGCTTTCCATGTATGTAAATAGGTATTTATTTGTTGTTTTTTTTAAATTGTGTATGCATTATTCCAAACATCATTACATAATTTTAAGGAATACCTTTTATTAATAAGTTTTTATGCATTATTTATGTAGTAACTTGATGATTAAGTAACTATGTAATTTTCCTCTCTTTTAGTATATTTCCAAACCAAATCATAAATTCATATCAAATTTTATATTTCTTTTGGTTTTACAATCATCAGATTCTTTAAACTCATTCATGGTCTATGACTATTTTTAATAATGAAATTTATAGACGTGCAAAATGAACTCTGAATCCCTTATGTGTCAAATTCACATCTAATGAATGGGTATTTTACTGGATGGATACTTTATTGGAGCTATCAATGTATGCATTTCTGCACGTAATTATTTTCAGTTATTTTGGTGTGGTTGTTAATTATGTTGTGCTTGTAAGATTTTTTAAGTTGAAATGTCCTAGCTCTAAGTATATTTTATATTACATGCAAACAATTTCTAAGGAAAAAGTTTCTTTATAAATTTACATATTACCAGAATGGTTATTATTTCATGATTTGTATTTTTAATTATTACCAGAATAACAAAAAGTTTTTCATTGGTAATCTGCTAGCTGTATTTAGATATGTAATGTTCTCAAACTCACTTTTATTTTCATTTTCAGTTGATTCTGTGATGTATATTAATAAAGTTAGTTGCCTATTTTTAGGTTGCATCACATTTAAAAACAGCATATGCACCACCTCCTCCTAGTTCATCTTCAGATCAATCTCCTGCTAAACTTGCTCTTCCCAAAATGAGGAGAACAATTGTGACTAGAGTTCAGGAAGCTGTAAGAGCTTTAGCACTTTGTCATAATGTAACACCTGTATATGAAGATGATTCTATTTGTTTAGAAAATATGGCATCAAATGGGACTGATTCTGCTGAACTTGATCAAGATTGTAAGCAATCTTTTGTGTACCAAGCATCTAGTCCAGATGAAGTACGTATTAAGTACTTTTAATGTTAACTTGAGTAATTTTAAGAATGCAAAACTTTTAAAAAGATGTTGAAACATTGTAAATGTTTAAGAATTATATATTTTAGTTAAATCGATTAGGAATTACTTTCATAAGAAATTGTAAAATGTTTGCATTATATAAGTTAAATTTCTTACAATGTATGAAATAAAATTCTAACTGTAATATTTAATAGCCCATTAAGTCTGCTACTTAATTTGGTTGTTTCTCCTTCCTGTCTTAAAAATTTTAACATCTTTTAAATCTCTGTAAACTTCATCATTTCAGAAATTAATCCTTGTTGCATGATTTTTATATAATGCTAATTATACAGGTTTATACATAATGTTTCAACATTAAATATTACATTTTCAAACTGAAAACAATTAGCTGTGAGGCAGAAAAGTCTTTAGATATACATAATATTTAGATTTAGTCTATATCAACCCTCTTGCTGCACATCCCGCGATTTCCACGGGCAACGTAGAAGTAGCAGAATTTGCGCAACCCATGATTTTTCCGCAGGGATAAATTTTTGCCATCTATTTAACTGTGCAACCTGCTTGATATACATAATATTTAGATTTAGTCTATATTAACCCTCTCACTGCACATCCCGTGATTTCCACTTCTGCGGAGATAAATTTTTGCCGTCTATTTAACTGTGCAACCCGCTCTTTCCCCGTTCAAGGTTTTCTTTCAGCTTTTCTGTGATATTTAATTGTTTATTTAGATGTGGGCTAACAGATGGCGTTGGTTGTCCACATTTCTGCCAAATGTACAAGAATACGTAATGTAGCATTTTGCATGCGCTTCAAAGATATCAAAAGATATCAGATATAAAATATCTTCAAAGATATCAGAGTTCAAAGATATCTGGCAAGAAGCATTTCGCGAGTGATATAACCTATTTCCTGATGATAGTTCCGACACTGATAGTAGTTTTGACTCTGATTTCAAGTATATTGAAGATAGTTATAGCGAAACTGATGCGAATTTCTCGGATTCCTCTGCAGATAGTGATGAATCTGAAAATTCAGTTTCTGTTGAAAACGTTCGACAGTAGTGCAAAATTGATATGCAAAATATTACATTATGCAAATATTTTCATTTAGTATATAAGGTTTACCTTTGTATTTTATAAAATAAATCATAATTTAACCAATATTAATTTTCAAAATTTTCCTTTTATATCATTATTCTTCAATTTCAGTATTCTGATAACCTTTTTCTATGATCTAATTCTATATTAAAAAAAAACTCTTTACAAAAAATTTTTATATATTTTAACTCTAACATATATGTAGATTTGAAATATGTAATTAATTAAATACGCAATTTTTGAACCTATTTTGATCAAAAAAATATGCAGTGAGTGGGGTAAGAAAACAAAGTTTCCTATACTTGATAAAAAGGCAAACTGTTCTTTACTAGAGATGTTATTGTTCACCACAAAGGCATTTTGAAAAGGCAATATTTTTTCTTTCTCTCTTTATTTAATAGATGTACATCAAGTCATTAACTGATCCGAATTTTGGTTTAAAAACAGTAAGGAAATAAATTTTTGCCAGTTACTACTTTTCATCTGTAAATCCCATCTCCTATTTTAAGATTTGTTCAGTTTTTGATTTTCCTTTCATCCTACAGCATTTATTTATACCCTCATCTCCTCCTCTTTATTGGGTTTAGATCTTTTCTAGTATTGATAATAAATATTTTTGATGCAGCTTTAAAAAAAAAAGGGTTTGAATTTTTTATTTTAGGATTTTCAGTTTTTAATTTATTGTGATGTATATGTATATGTACTTGTTTATCAGTGTAGTGCATTTAATGTCATTTCTGGACTATTCAGTGTACTATAAATGCTGTGTGAATATGTTTTGTAATTCTTATATATATGTGCATTAATCATATGTTGTAACTACATACAGGAGTTGTACAAAAATATGGAAACACTGAAATAAAAACATATTGCTGGACTAATATGGTGTAGAAAAACTATTGACATTCAAAACAGCTTGCAGTCTTCTCGAAATAGATAAATAGAGGTCTTGTTTGCTCTGCAAGGGAACCTTGTAATATCCATCCTGTAAAATATTTGCAAATTTTGTTAATGATAATGCCAGTGGATAGCAGTAACACTTTCACTCCAAAAATAGCCTACAAAGGCTCAATATTGATATCTGTGGTGGCCATGGTAGATGTGAAAATTTTTCCTTGTGCTCAGAAAACCAGTCTTGGATGATGTGAACTGAGTGAACAGGAGCTCTGCTGTCTTGGAATACTGCATCACCATTGGGGAACAAAATTTGTACCATGGGGTGGACATGATCAGACAAAATGATCACATAATCCTTGGTAGTAGTATGACCTTGCACAATAATGACAGTGGCCAGTAGATGGTAAACTTGGCCAGAAGTGGGCAACAGTGCGAAGCAAGTCTCATCCATCCAAATGACAATCTTCTATTGCTGTACAGTCCAGGTTTTATGACTTTCTCCTCTTACTGGCATTTTGATCACTGTTGAGAGGCTTTTGAATTGCAGCTCTCTCAAAAATATGCTTCTTATGGAGCTCCCTTCATATCGTTTTGGTACTGCAAGATTTGCAAATGCAACATTCAGTTCAGCAGTCACTTTTGTGGTTATAATCCTCTTATTTTTCATCACAATTCTGTTCAGTGTTCGTCTGTCATAACTCAACACACATTTTCATCCACAATGTAATTTAGGGATGCAGTTTTTCCGGTTTTCCTAAATGAGTTAAAAATCTTAGATACTGTGCCTCTTAAAACAACAAATACTTCAGCTACCTTGGTTATGGAAGCACCCACCATACGAGCCCCAAGAATTAACCCATGATTGGATTCATTTAGCTGTGACATGATGCACTCACAACTGCACAGTCTCGATAACTAATGATACTTGCAATGTATTGAGGATATTGTACAGGTGGTGTTAGTGAGCAAATACATCAACACCACCAACAGCTTTTGCAAGAATAAACATTTCAGTTTAAACCCTCATTTTATGTGGTGTTTACATACTTTTGTCCAACCCCTGTATATTGTAATAACCAGATGGTTAATGAGTTTTTTTTAAATCCTCAACATATTCATTGTTAATTTCCCAGCTCGCTGTTGTTTTTGTAAAGGCAGTATCATAAATAACAAAAAAATCCTGGGTTTCAAAAACCTTTCAAGTTTCTGCCTGCAATACAATTTTGTCATAATTTCCTCCAAGCCATATTGATTATCCTTTAATACATTTGCTTCCAGGCTTTGTTATTGAGATTTAAGCAATGGAAAATATTAAAATAATTTTTCCAGAAGTTCCCGAGTATTAATTGTATTGATGTAAGTTAGTTTAAAACATGTTTGAAAAATCATTTGTTGTTGACTTCAGTGTTCATAACTCTAGACACCGTTTATCATATGAGATCCATTTTATTTAGATAGTTTGTGCATGAACCAAATTGTTCATGAAGAGGAGCGTTCATGATCTGAGGTTCTACTGCAGTATTTATATATGAAATTTATTTTTGAGTTTTGAATATTTCTAAAATGTTATCCATCGACCTATATATAGGTTGCTTTGGTAGCTTGGACTGAAAGTGTTGGCCTCGCCTTAATACATAGAGATCTTACAAGCATGAAACTAAGAACAGCTCATAAGCAGTATTTGAATTATACAGTTTTGCAGATATTTCCATTTACTTCTGAAACTAAAAGAATGGGAATTATAGTGAAGGTATACAATTTTTTCTGTTATTTATTCTTAAAACTAGTATTATTGAAACAGAATAATAAATATGGTATTTACAATTATTTGTGGCTATTTTATTTACATTTGTTGATGAATTTCTTAGGAAGAAAACACAGGGGATATAATATTTTTTATGAAAGGTGCCGATGTAGTGATGTCTTCTATTGTTCAGTATAATGACTGGCTGGATGAAGAAGTAATTTTTTAATTATATAAAATTTTAATCTGGAAGTTTTGTAAAATCTGACTGATAATAAACATGTGTTTCTTAAATTTCTGTTTCATTGAAATTATACCTTCTTTAGACTTGACTGCATATGTACATGAGATTCATGAGATTTCTGTCAACTTTTTCATATACAGTACAATGTCTGAGATCGGGACTTCCGCCATTCTAGATTTAGGATTTTTCCGGGTTATTAGATCATCAGTTTAAATCTAGTAAGATAGCATTTAGAAATTATAAAATTAAAAATCTGAAATCGTGATTTATGAAATAATGAAGATTTTTAGGATATAAAGGATATCGAAATTTACACACACACACACACAAAAAAAAAGCTTAATATTTATTTGTATACTTTATTAAACATTTCTTTCAATGTAAGTTGTTTAAGTTGCTTCATTTTTGTGCTAATACTTTCTCTTTAATTCTGTAGACAGACAAAATTTCTTGTTCATTTACAACTTTCCACTGTTCAAGTCCTATAATTGCTGTGTCAAAAATTCCAAGTAGCTTGTCATTCGAAATTTTTGCATTTTCAGTAACCTCTCTGTCACTTTTCTCACTATTGGTAGCGGTATTTTCTGGATCTAGACCCGTACTACAGATTTCGCTACCCTATAATTGATTAATGATTGGGGCATTGTCATTGAAATTAAAAACTTCTATTATATCATCTTCATTTATAAACGCTTTTCCAAATTTCTTTACAAAGTTCATTAACTGGAAAATTTCACCTTTTGGTTTGTGATATCTGAAAACCTTCAAATTCACGGCTGTCATTTTCATTGTCCTCATGATGAAGCACGGTAGCTCGCTATAAATTATGGCAAGTAGTTTTTAAAGTATCTGGGGACACATCTTCCCAGAGTCCTGCAATGCTCCACACAGCAGGTTTCAAGCTAAAATATTTCAAACGTTCTTGCGTTATCTTGCTATTATTCAAGAATTCATGCAAATGGAGAGTACTTTGAAGGGGATTGAAGGTTTGTACTTAAACTGTGAATAAGTAAATTTTAAAAAAAAGTTCAGTTTCGCTAGGGTACCCCTATTCCTTATATTTAGGAAGATTTGAATTTAATTAAGTGCTTGTCAGCTTATTTTAAGTAAAATACCAATTATAATACAGTCAAAAGTCGTTAATTCGGACACCCATAATCCGGAATGATCTATAATCCGGACCTCAAAGCTTCAACGCATGCGCGTAAGGCCTTTACGGCTGAGAATATGCTTGTGCGCGTGAGCAAAATACGTTTACTAGTGCGCGTTTAATGTATAACGGGCGGTATACGCTAAGCTAAAATTATTTAATTATCTATTTTCGGTTAATGTTGCAGATTGTGTTGTTCCTTAATTTTCGAATTGGATCCGGCTTATTATTTTTTGCAGACTGTTACAGCAATTTTATAAAAGTAAGCTTGAACTTTCGATTATGTCAAATAGAATTTCTGATATATATTTATTAATATGTAAATGATCTACAAAGCGAAAGTATGTTTCGAAGTTCATTAAACAAAAAGTGGAATTGCTACAAAAAATGGATAAAGGCATATCCTTTGTTTATCTAAACTTTGTTTATCTTTAACAGCGCAGCGCCGCAAATTGGAAGTTGATCTGTCAGCACTATCCTTATCTTCAGGGCAGATGTTTTTATTTTATTTGGCTTATAATTCCTTATTAAATGTAGTATTTCATCTCAATGTACTCCATCTTTGATATGATTTAAATCAAATTCCTCGTCATTATAATTCGCTTCCGATAGCAAAGAACGTAACAGAGATTATTGAAAACGAAAAAATTTCAATTGACAAATTACTCGGTCTTCTCGATACAGCAATTATAGGACTTGAATGGTGGAACTTTGTAACTGAACAAGAAATTATGTCTCTTTAAAGAATTAAAGAGAATGTATTATCACGTAAAAAATGAAGCAACTTAAACAACTTACATTGAAAGAAATGTTTAATAAAGTAAACAAATAAATATTAAGCTTTTTTTTTTTGTAAATTTTTATACCCTTTAGATCATAATTGTTCTTTAATTCATAAATTACGGTTTCATATTTTTAATTTTATAATTTCTGCATGCCATCTTACCAGATTTAAACTGATGATCTATAATCTGGAAAAATCGATAATCCAGAATCGCCGAAGTCCCGACGAGTCCGGATTAACGACTTTTGACTGTATTAATTTATTGTTAAAAAATTTGCTTAATGAATGAGATATGTATCATATCGCTTCATAGATCACATATGCAATGGAAAGTTTTAGGCTGTTTTAAAAATATAGGTTAATGTAGTAATAGCCTGGCTAATATAACAATAATAATTAATATGTATGTTTATTTAAAGGTGGATAAAAGAGCTGATATACTTTGTAAAATTTATAAAAACGAAAACATTTTCCTTATTGTTGTTTTGGTTATAGTATAAGAATGATAAAAATACGCATTTATACATTTTGGTTAAGCAAATTTCTATGTCTTTGAATAATTTTAGAAATTATAGGAGTAATATAAAAAGTATAAATAAAGTATTACTGTTATTCAAATGGTTTATTAGATCAAAACATCAGTTTTAATGAAGTTGTTATTTTAAGTAGACTACTTTTATTGAAGACTCATATATGAAAAAATATATATCTTTCATCTGTGATATATATTAAAAATACAGAATCTCCTTTCTCTAGATATTTAGTTTATTTATTAGTCTATAAGGCCAATCTTATCATTTAGCAGATTTAAGTGATCTTCCAAAGGCACCAGTATAGATGGGCAAACATCCTACTTATGAGCAGTGAAAAGATAGATTGTTATGTCTTTCTGAATTATAAAGGTCCAGCTAAATATTATTTCATTTAATGTTACAAATAAAAATATATTAAAATCTTTTTTAGCAAATTATTTCCTGAGACAACCACCACTAAAAGTGATCAGTATTTCTGAAATCATTATTAAATAATGATAATAAACATCATCAGTAGTCATGATCTGTAAGGCAATCACTTTTACTGAAAGCCATAGTCCTCTGGAGCTGAGAGCAGCTCTTAAAGATGTTTCTTTTTGTATACTGTATAGGTAATGTATACACATACCTACATTTTTTTTTTTTTTTTTTTCCATCTCAAAGGCTTGTTTTGTTGCGTCATCATGGCAAGAGGCTGTTCCTGGACAGGATGCGTGAAGCACGTGGGGAGTTTTTCTCCTAGTAGGGCTACTGAGGGCATGAAGGCCACTCCATTACTTCCAGCTAAAGCTTAGTCGGCACCTTGAAAGAAAGTCAGACTTCAGCCTTGGTGGTTCCTCACCTAATTAAAGCTACTTCTTGCCCATAGCCATCAATCAGATGCATCTGTTTGATTACACTACAGCTTCACGCGTCACGCTGTATAAACAGAGACATGACCAGGATTTAGTTAGAAGGTACTGATTGACAAATAAGTTAAGTCTGCATCCAGATGTAAAATTGTGAAAATTTCATATTTTACAATGCAACATCAATGGCCTCTGTGTTACGGCATCTAGGGTTAAGCTTGAAAACTTGTAGAACTTGATGATAAATTATAAGCAATGATCATTTCTCTCCATGTGACAAAATTAAGAGCAAAACACTGGCTAAGAGCTAAGGGTTATAACATAATTCATCAGGAAAGGCCTTCTATAGGTGGTGGTGGTGGCCTCATATTTCTAGTTAGAGATGTGTATTATCAAAGGCTTAGCACCATCACTGCACGAATTTCTAGCCTGGAGTGTCAGCGAATCAAAGTCCTTCCAAGAAACTGTATCATTAACATCATAAAAATGTATCATCCCTCTAATAATGAGAACTTTGACATGGATGCTTTGGAGGGACTATTTAAGGACTTCTCACTTCTACTGGCAATTTCAATCCAAACACGTTGCTTGAGAGTGTGCCTTGGCTAATCATAGAGGACACGACTTGGAGAACTTAACTGACAATAAGGCTTTTCTGTTCTTAAACAATGGAACCCATACATATTGTTCCCACAGTTATAATACTACTGATGCTCTGGACTTGAGCATCACCAGTGCAGACTTATTTCCATATAGCTCCTGGAGAGTAGTTGACTGTGTTGGCAGTGATCACTACCCCATATTGATTGAATAGGATTTTAACATTAAGGTCTATAGAAACAACAATCTTTTGTGGAACTTTGAGTTAACTGGCCATTATTCGAGGAGGTCATAATTAAAAGAATTCTGAAGATCCTTACTTCAGAAGATCTAGAAAAGAAATGGTTCTTTTTTAACAAGTCTGTCTTTATGGCAGCAAAATATATTATACCAAGAGATAAATGTAAGAAAGGAAGACTTACACTTGTGATTCTGAGGCTATATAAAAATTATTGGCCTATAGGGATCAAGTGCTGAAGGGCCATGACATAAATGTTAAGAGAGATGCCAGGATTGAACTTTATAAACTGAATGCTGAGATCAAATGCAAGTTTAATTCTACTAAGAGGAGAAACTGGCAGGATTTATATGAAAGCTTAGATTATAAAACTCCTAATTCTAGATTTTGGAAATTAGCCAAGAACCTAAATAAAAAGCAACCTCAGGAGGAAAGCACAAGTTCTATCATTGATAGCAATGGTTCTCACACTGCAAATGACCAAGAAGCTGCAGAGGCTCTGGGGCATTTTTATGCTAAAGAGAGCAAGTTGACCTTTAGCAGAAAGGACAAAAAGTTTGGCAGGCAGGCCAGAAATCTGGTAAAATCTTGCAAGATGGCAGCCAGCGACCTATTATTTAACGGCCGTATTACTTCTTCTGAATTACATTATGCCATATGACAAATGAGTATTAAGAAATTCCTGGGACCTGATGGGATTCAGGGATAATTTTTGGCAAATCTTGGACCATGTGCAACTGAGAGACTCCTGCATCTTTATAATCTATCATAGAAGCTGTGTAGACTCTCCATTCAATGGAAAACGGCAATTATTATTCTT